GGTATAGAATTAAGGATAGATTTAATCACTAACTTTAAGAACGGTTATAATCGCGTGTGCAGCTACTTGCACAGAAATTCAAAACAACCCAAAATTAAGTTCTTTTCACTCATCTCCCATGTTCCGTACGATAAGCCAAATTTGGGTAAACCGGCTCAAAGTAGTTTGCATTTAAGCACGGCAAAAAAAATTACCCATCGCTAAGTTATTTTCAATTTTTTCTACCCAAAATTAAGTTCAATTAACTCAAATTTGGGTATATCGCATATTACTCAATTTTGGCTTCTCGTACGGGACTAGACGGTTGAGTCGAATCTTTCGTTCTATTTTTGACAACAATAGCGAGAGGAAATGAAACGGGCAGAGGTCAAATAACTCAAATTTGAGTTTAAAAAACTCAAGCGGTGGGTAGTTTTGTTTTTCTGTGTGGATTTTGTTGTTTTTTTTTCTTCTTCCTACATACGCTATGTACGATCGTTGACGGACAGCTCCGCTGTCACCTTGCATCAGTGCCGCCGGCACGGTGGGGGCAGGGCTGTGCATTTAAAAAGGGCGCGTGCTGTCCACTGGGACAGCCAACAGTACGTACAACTGGAAGAATACATTAAATGATCGGCCATCAAAAAGATTTTTAAAACCAAGCGCTTTCATACACAAAAGTTACACGATCTTTCAAAAATCAGTGCCTTGCTTCCAACTTAAGAATCATATCAATTGACTGTTTCATGGCCCCTCCTTGCATCAATCATATCTTTCGATGGTTAATTCGTCGAACGAGGTTGAAGATATGATCACTGTGCTACAGTGGAACTGCCGTAGTCTAGTGCCTAAACTAGACTCGTTCAAATTTTTACTTCACAATTCTGATTGTGATATATTTGCTCTCTGTGAAACATGGCTTTATTCCGATAAAGAACTCAACTTCCACGATTTTAACATTATACGCCTGGATAGAGACGATTCTTATGGAGGAGTACTTTTAGGGATCAAAAAGTGCTACCCTTTCTACAGAATTTCCCTTCCTGCTCTATCAGGCGTCGAAATCGTCGCTTGCCAAATAAATGTGAAGAACAAAGACCTTTGCATAGCTTCATTTTATGTTCCACCAAGAACCTCCATTAGCCGTAGTCAACTCTGGAATCTAGCTTCGATTCTTCCATCCGCAGTATTAATTCTGGGTGATATGAACTCCCATGGTACTGGGTGGGACGATCTATGTGATGACAATAGAGTGGCTATTGTTTACGATTTATGCGACGATTTCAACTTGACTATTTTGAACACTGGTGAAGCGACACGTACAGCAAAACCTCCGGCTCGAGAAAGCCGACTCGACCTATCTTTGTGTTCAAGATCGCTATCATTGGATTGTCTGTGGTTATCAATGATCCGCATGTTAGCGATCATTTGCCAATCATCATTTCAATTAAGTGTGCCCCTCACTCTGCAGAACCATCTGGAGTTCCATTTGATCTTGATTTGAAGGAACATAGATTGGCAGAAATATGCAACGGCGGTGACAATCGGTGCCGAATCAATAGATACGCTTCCACCATTGGAAGAATATCGATTCCTCGCCGATTTGATGTACAAAAGCTCATAGGAAGCACAAAAAAGAAAAGTTCCAAGTGCGCCCTTCAAAAGGAGACCAGCCACACCTGGATGGGACGAAAAATGCACAAAATTGTATGTAGAAAAATCTGATGCTTTCAAAGCTTCTCGTAGACACGAAACCTCCAAAGCTTGAGACAAAGCTGAAACAATTAATCAAAGCAGAAAAACGCGGTTATTGGCGCAATTTCGTCGAGGGACTCTCACGAGAAACCTCAATGAACACCTTGTGGAGGGTGGCTCGCAACATGCGTAACCGCTCATCTTCTAATGAGAGTGAAGAATACTCCAACCTAAAAAGGTCTGTCCGGACTCAGTACCAGCACAACACATTCTTCGAGAAGCGTCTCCGAGCGGCAGCTCTCTGGATAGATCATTCACAATGCGGGAATTCTCTATGGCTCTTCTTTCATCGAACAACTCCTCACCGGGAAGCGATATGATTAAATTTAATCTTCTGAAAAATCTCCCAGATATCGCTAAAAGACGCTTGCTAGACTTATTCAATTCCTTACTAGAAAACAACATTATACCACCTGAATGGAGACAGGTCAAAGTAATAGCCATTCGAAAACCTGGCAAACCAGCGTTTGACCATAACTCATACCGTCCGATTGCGATGCTTTCGTGCATTAGGAAATTGTTGGAGAAAATGATCCTTAGGAGACTTGATCAGTGGGTCGAAACTCGAAACAAATAACTTGCTATCAAATACACAGTGGGTTCCACAAGAGCAAAGGAACAAACGATTGTCTAGCGCTGCTTTCCACAGATATTCAACTGGCCTTTGCGCACAAGGAGCAATTGGCTTCAGTATTCTTGGACATTAAGGGGGCTTTTGATTCAGATTCCATTGAAATTCTGTCAGACAATCTGCACAGATGTGGACTTTCTGGAATTTTAAATCATTTCTTGTACAATTTGTTGTCAGAAAAGCAAATGAACTTTTCCCTTGGTCAACTGACAACTTCCAGAATTAGCTACATGGGCCTCCCCAAGGCTCATGTCTCAGCCCTCTTCTTTATAACTTTTATGCCAAAGATATCGACAACTGTTTGGCAGAACAATGCACAAATGACAACTTGCAGATGACGGTGTGGTTTCCGTAAGAGGTCCACATGCCGTGAACTTGCGAGGACCATTGCAAAGTTCCTTAGATAACTTGTAGTCTTGGGCTAGGAATCTAGGGATCGAATTCTCGCCGCAGAAAACTGAACTGGTAGTGTTTACTCGAAAGCGGTACCCAGCCCAAATGCAGCTTAATCTTTTGGGCAGAAACATTACCCAATCATTGTCTTTCAAGTACCTTGGGGTCTGGTTTGATTCAAAGTGCACTTGGAATACCCATATTACGTATTTGCAGCAAACATGTCAGCAGAGGATCAACTTTCTCCGTTCAATTTGCGGCACATGGTGGGGTGCTCATCCGGGAGACCTCATAACGCTTTATAAAACAACTATTCTCTCTGTTCTAGAGTACGGCTCTTTCTGCTTTCTCTCGGCAAGAAAATGTCACCTAATAAAATTGGAACGAATTCAATATCGTTTTCTGCGTATTGCTCTTGGCTGTATGCACTCAACGCATAACATGAGTCTCGAGGTCCTGGCAGGAGTAACACCCCTCCAGAGCTCCTCTGGGAGCTCTCTCTCAGAATACTAATCAAATGCGGAGTGACGAACACACTTATAATTGATAATTTTGAAGAAATTCTTGGGCTGAACACACAATCTCGATTTATGAGAATCTACCACCACTACATATCGTCAGATATGTGTCTTCCTTTTTACACTCCAGACCGTGCTCACTTCACCAATCGCAGTTCCTCATATGCTCTGACCATGAAACAAGACACTCATGGGATTCCCGATTAACTTCGACCTATTATTATCCCGCGTATTTTTACTGAAAAGTACCAAAATTGCGTGAACAGATATTTTACAGACGGGTCTCGCCTCAATGGATCCACTGGCTTCGGTGTCTTCAATGAAAACTCTAGCGCCTTCCGCAAACTCCAGGAACCTTTTTCCATTTTTATTGCTGAGCTGGCAGCAATCAACTTCGCATTGGGGATGATTTCCAACATGCCCGCAGACCATTACTCGGATAGTCTCAGTTCGATCGCGGCAATTCGGTCGATGAAACAAGGTAGGCACTCATCTAATTTCCTTTCAAAGGTAAGGGAGCAGATGAGTGTGCTGGTCGAAAGATCATATATGATTACCTTTGTATGGGTCCCCTCACATTGCTCAATCCCTGGCAGGAAGGCGAATTTTATGACAGGCAAATGTCACACGATGAATTTTACCATTTAGTGCGTCAGAGTACCCTTTCGAGTTGGCAAACCGATTGGAACAATGGAAATCTTGGACGGTGGTTACATTCAATTATTCCTAATGTTTGTTTGAGAGCGTGGTTTAAAGGCTTGGACATAAGTCGTGACTTCATTCGCGTGATGAGTAGACTTATGTCCAACCACTACTCGCTAGATGCTCATCTCAATAGAATAAACCTCGTGGACAGCAACATCTGTCGGTGTGGAAACGGTTACGATGACATCGATCACGCAGTTTGCCAATGTACGGAGAGCCACCAGAGAGCGACTTTTGAATACCCTTGAGGCCCAAGGAAGACAACCCTATGTTCCTATCAGAGACTTGTTGGGAACTCGCGATATCTGCTATATGCAGTCGGTTTATGTGTTTCTTCCAGTGTTGGAAAAGTTCGCGATATTTCACGAAATTCACCAAGGGAAAAGTTCGCGAGTCATAGTGAGTTTTCGCGAACTTTTCATCACTGGTTTCTTCAAATGTCTAATATAAGAATTTAATTCCTTTGTCTTTTGTCTCTCTTTAATAGTTTCTGTTTGTCTTGTCCCCACACGCGATTGAGCCTTCCAAATAAACGAACTAGTTAAAAAAAAACCTTTCAAAACATGATTTGAGTACCTACATACATTGATTTGATAACACGATTGTCCTTGTTAATATCACCTGAAACTCGTTGGAAAACTGCATGAAGACAAAATGTCGCTTTTGTAGGTGACTTCCATCCTGGGCGGCTGCTTACTTAAATTATCAAACAAAAGTTATACCTATTATGTAACCGCTTTACCGTGGAAACAATGCTTAGTCTGCGTTGTGGTTATCATAGACGAGAATTGGATACTAGCATAACTATATACCGGAAAAAAGTTACAGCATATTGACTAAGGTAAGGTTTCCTTATTAAGGAGGCTTTCAGCCTGGGGCTGGTTCTCCTCCGGCTGCATATTGACTATCTAAGCTTCTATAGGTTACGTTTCCAGTGGCAGCTAAGCTATACGGAAAGTGATATATCAATAGGCAATACATACCAACTGGTTTGAGCACATACTTACACCAAAAGCATTTTAATCGTGTATTTTAGGAAGAGAAAATTTCAAGAGAATCGCACACCGGCATACCGGTAAAGCTGAATCTGAAATTTAGTCTTTCTTTTTATCATACTCTACCTTAATGCTGCCATGCTTTAAGGAGGTCGTTTTCATTCGCTCCAACACCTCACTGTACGCTGGCGCCAAGGGCTTCTGTACAACATCCCGATATTCGTAGTCCTTCTCCGGATCGAGCTAAAATCGAAATAATTCTCTTAGCAAATGCGAATAACAATCAAACGGTTTAATGCCAATAAAATTACATTCAAACTGTACGACATATCGGAATCGTAGCCACGTAAATCTCCACAAACGATAAACGGAATGATTGAACGGTTAACTTCTGACTCAGTCTCACCCGCAATCTTTTGCACATCATCCAACATAGGATTGATCATCTGTGGAATGTATCCCTCCGGCGGCTTGTAGGTCTGGCACACTACAAAAGCCTCGATGCTGGAGTTTCGAGAACTGGCCGGCTTGGCGATGGAAACCTTCTCGAAGAAGATGCGCAACTGCGAGTAGAGCAGGGTGGTGTCCTTTCCGCGGAAAATCTTCGCAATAAACGTCCCACCCTCGATCAGGACGTGCGTCGTAATGTTGAGAGCTGCTAGCAGCAGCTGAGATTGGATGTACTCGTCGATGTCATGTAACCCGGTCACATCGGGAGCACCATCGCAGATGACCAGCTGTGCCTTTTGCCCGTTTCCGAACTGCTCAATGATCGCAGTTGCCGTGCTCAGTTTGGTAATGTCTCCCTGAAGCTGGGTAACACCTGCCAACGGTGCCATTGCCTGCAGATCGACGGCAATAATTTTAACCTCTTCGGTGGCATCTTTGTCCCGGTTTTCGTACAGCTTTTTCGACAACACCTGACTCCAGCTGCCGGGTGCAGCACAAAGGTCCACGGCCCGTGTCACACCTGTTCGGATGAGATAGGTTCGGAATGGGATTTATTGTGTGGCCAATCTTAATATTATATGTAGGTAGATGTACATACCTTCGAAAATGTTGAACACCTCGTCGAGGTGAATCAACTTGAATGCACTACGAGCCCGCCAGCCTTCCTCTTTGGCCCGTCGGTAGTAAATATCGCGTTTATCTTTACTGGTTTTACCCATCGTGAGCAAACGCTGGCTAGAATTATGCTGAAAATTAAAGTTATTGATTTTCCTGGATCACACTCGCTGATCCTGCGCAGAAACACTGTTCTTGCTCAACTTTTCAAATAGACTAATGTACATTGATCGATTCTCTAAATCGACTTTGTCTTTGAATCGCCATGGTCGTGTTAAGGCATTTGCGGATATTTTCGACACACAATTCGGCAAAAAAAAAAATCATGATTCAGCATCCAATACGAAAAATACATCAGGAAACGTTTTTGTAGCCGCGTTATTAACGAAAGATAAAGACGTCTATTTGAAAAGTTGAGCCAGTATTTTGTTTTGTTTTATGCTCGTGCGTTTTGGTCGTCTTGTAGCTGTCAAAACTAATTCAGGGCTGTGCAAAATAGAATGGTGTCATTTTGACTGGTAAGTTGTTGAGACAACAATAATTTTAATGGTTTGAAACAAGGTTGCAAAGACTCATTTCAGCTAAAACAATGTTTTTCTAAATTATGAAATAATTAGATGCCATGATCAAATTTTGAATTGGTAGGATACAAGAAGAGGTTGCAAAGAATGTTTTTGACATATTAAACCTGTTTATTTCACTTCATGAGAGTCACAATCAGCGATTTTTCACAAACTCACTCACTCACTCACTCGCTCACTCAGCGATCAGCAAATCGCTGATTGTGACTCATAGAAAGCAAAATTTACAGGTTTTATGTTTCCAACGCATACTTTGTAACCTCTTCTTGTAAGTTACAAGTAAAACATGCCATCATACCATCTTTTGGTTTTATTATTCCTAAAAACATTATTTTAGCTGAAATGAGTCTTTGCAACCTTGGTTTGAAACATTTAAATTAAATTTGCAATTAAATTGCCCAAATGTTATTATTCATTTGAACATTTTATTTATTGTTTGTATACTTGACCTTTATACGTCTTACACATAAATCAAAAATCATCGGAAAACCCCGTTCGAAGTGAAACCGTATTTTCCTTGAAAGTTTCATTATGACTGTTGTCTTAGCATTTTGAGTTTCGACGTCAGCTCTCGGTTTGTTGTTATTGGCATAAACTTTGCGAGGAGGAACAGATCGGTTGTATTATTCACAGCTGATCTTTTGTTTCGGGGCTGCACCGCCAGGAGCTGCCTAACGGTAACTGTAGTAATACGCACTATTGTTTTCATTTCGCACCAGGATATGGCTTCGAGCAAGATGATGTCGTTCACGAAGGAAATGCGTGTGGCCACACGTGACATTCACAACGTCAGCGATGCATTGGTCAATGCAAAGCTGGCCTTCGGTAAGCGTGAATAAAAATGATTCTTTCATATTTACCATCCAACTGTTCTTTGTTCTCACGCCCACGTCCATGTGTGGCGCAGCTCTTTATGATAGCGCAGTTTGGGCGGAGGGACTGCTGATCTTCTACGAAATATTCAAATATCTGGAACAGAACGTGTCCCACGACTTTCTTCCGGAGGAATACCACCGGACGCAACAGTTTGAAGAGGACTTGCAGTTCTATCTGGGAACGGATTGGAAGGCCAAGCACCAACCCCGGAAGGAGGTCTGTGACTACATAAAACACCTCGAGAAAATCCAGCGTGAAAATTCAAACTTGTTGGTTGCGTATGTTTATCACCTCTACATGGGACTGCTGTCCGGAGGACAGATTCTGCAGAAAAGGCGCAATATTTCCAAAAAGTTTAATCCTTTTGCCAGTAAAGGCAAGGAAGGAGCTGCGTTGACTACATTCGAAGATCACAGCATCTACGAGTTGAAGCAGAAGATGAGGAAGACCATCGATGATTTTGGGGTCCGCTTAGATGACGACACTAAAATGCAGCTGATAGAGGAAAGCAGGAAGGTGTTTGAAATGAACAATGAGATTATTAAAACTGTGAAGGGCGTCAATAGGGCAAATCTTAAAACGTTAGGTTACATATTGCTCATAATTGTTGCTTATTTGATTTTGAAGTTTTTGATGACCAAATAGAGAGTAAAGCACGATTTCATAAGTAGGTATTAAGAATCTGTAAAAAATGTGAATTAAGTAGAAATTTTGAAACTGTATGTAGGTATCATTTGCAGATAAAGGTTATGGTAAAAGGAATGCTAAAGTGATGCTAGACGTAAAATTTAAAATACTTAAAGAAATAAATAATTTATGATTAAATGGCTTGGTAAAGATCAGGGCCAGTCACTTTCAATCGAAAATCGTCAAGCGACGATGAAGCTGTCAACCATCACTTTCAATTGAAAGACATTCTGTTTTCTCTTCGAGCAGATCCCCCTCAACATCAACAGAACCACTTTCGATCAGTTTTCATGCTGTTTGTTTTAGCTTGACTCGTGTTCATTTCTTCTTTCATTGTCAAATGAACTTACTTTTGCATGCATTGAAGCAAAGCTGTTCGATCCAAATACGTGCAGTTTTTATGACTTTTGTTGCTTGTTCACTCGGTTCGTTTTGGTTCAGATCTGTGCACGTGGATGTCAAATTTACCATTGTCGGGTGGTTTGTTTACCCATCAATATTATAGCCGCTATATTCATAGTCTGGCGGATAGAATCTCGGGAACCAATTGAGCTGTCAAATAGCGGAACCAATCGAGCAAATCACGACCAACAACAGAAAAGAGCACATCAGCTATTGCGAACAAAACTTTGGAAACCGTTTGCTCGTGATTCAAGGCTCGCCTACGCAAACTAACACTATCTTTGGGTTTGTGGAAAGATTCCCCTATCCGATGATGCCGGTAATTTGCGTTCGATTGTCGAGGAAAGAATAATCAACGTTTGGTTTATAAAAGTTGATAGGACCTTTTCAATTGTTGGTCTATAATATATTGAATTGGTTCCACTTTTTGATAGGTCGAAATTCTATCCGCCAGACTATAAATATAGCGACTATAATCAATATGGGTATTTGTTTACTCGGGGTGAAAATCGATATCCGACGCCATTTTGAAATTGAAGATGGCGGCTTTCAATTTACGAAAAAGTGGAAATACAGTCCAATACACATCAATATTAGTATTTTTGTAATCGGGATGACGTCAAGAGGCCGGAAATCGATATTCGACGCCATTTTTAAATCCAATATGGCGGCTTCCTATTTCAGAAAAAATGGGAAATGCTGATGCCGTCCTATCAATATGGGTATTTTTGGAATCGGGGTGAGGTTTGGAGATTGGAAATCAATATCCGACGCCATTTTGAAATCCATGATGGCGGCTTCCGGTTTGAGAAAAAGTTTTAAATTCTATCAAATACCCAAACGGTTTTTTTAAGCATCAGGGTGACATCTAGAAGCCAGAGATAGATGTCCGACGCTATCTTGAAATTCAAGATGGTGGCTTCCGATTTCATGAGAAGTGTCAAATAGCCTACAAATAGCATCGAATATCGATTTTCAGCATCTACGCGTCGTCCTCGTTCCGAAAATGCCCAGATCTTAGGGTATTTGACACTTTTTGTGAAGCCCAAAATGGCATCTGATATCGATTTTCGTTTCACACGTTGTCCCCATTCCGAAAATACCCATATTATAATTTGACACTCTCTGAACCCTCATGGCCGCCATATTGGATTCAAAAGTGGTATCTGATATCGATTTTCGGCATCTACGCGTTGTCCCTGTTTCAAAAATAACCATATTGTAGGGTATTTGACACTTTTGCTGGAGTTCAACATAACATCGGATATCGATTTTCGGCAGCCACGCGTTGTCTCCGTTCCGAAAATACCCATATCTTAGGGTATTTGACACGTTCTATGAAACTTGTTGGAACATCTTAGATTCCAAAATGGCGTCGAATATCGATTGTCAGCATCTACGCGTCGTCCCCGTTCCGAAAATACCCATATTGTAGGATAGTTGACACTTTCTGAATCCTTATGGCTGCCATATTGGTTCCGAAAATACCCATATCTTAGGGTATTTGATACTTCATAAAACCAATGGCCACTATCTTGAATTCCAAAGTGGCGTCGGATACGATTTTCAGCATCTACGTGGCATCCCCGTTCCGAAAATATCCTATTGTAGGGTCACAGACAAACAGACATAGCACATTGAATATTATCTGTTTCTTTGGTAACAAAACACGCCGAAAACGACGCAGAAATCGTCGCCATAGGAATTTGTATGGCATGATTTCTGCGTCGTTTTCGGTGTGTTTTGTTACCAAAGAAACAGATGATATTTATCACTGTAAAACATCGTCGCTAAAACATTACCGCCATCTGTTGAATACACTGTGGTGGGCAGTACGCTGAACAGATGGTGGTAGTGTGTAAACGTCAAACGCAAGGCGATTGACAGTGCGCGCTACAAGTGGCGGTACTACCAACTACGATACTTTTAAATTGACCGTTAAATGCTTGTTCGATGAACAACTTGTGAGTGTTATGCCTGTTTGTCTGTGGTGGGGTATTTGAAACTTTTTCTGAAACCCGATGGCCGCTATTTTGGATTCCAAAATAACGTCGAATATCGATTTTCGGCACCTTCGCGTCGTCGATATTGTGTGGATACTATCCGGATACTATATTTTTATGCCTGCGTCGTCAGGTCGTGAGAAGTCGAATGAGCCCCGAATTGAAGTGAAAGAGGAAAAAACGAAGGAAGCAGTTGATTTAAACAAGTCTTTGCTTCAAATGAAATGAACTGAAGCACTTGACGAACGAAATAAGTGATAGTCCAGTGATGTTTAAAAAGACGAATGTTCATCGAAAATGATATTGCTCGAAATGAAGCGATTCTGCGGAGAATTCATTTTCTTTTCTTTGTTTCGAAAATGAGATTGTCGCCCTTATTTCCATTTCCGAACAAATTTAATGTCATACAAAAAAAAAAACTTATCGGTATTAAAGATTTTCAAAATCGGTATTTCCTATTTTAATAAATTTTATATTTTTGCCGTTTTCTAAGGAAAAAAAATAAACTTTTGGACTAAGAACAGAAAATCCGGGAAGAATTTCTGGGAAATGTTTGAAATAGAAGGAAGCTGAAAAAACTTCCTGAGAAAGAAAAAGAATTATTCTGGAGGAAGTTTGCAGAAAGTTTGATGAAAAGTCGGAAAAACATCCAAAGAACTAAATGTTTGGGTAAAATTTAAACAAACTTTCGGAAGAAAATGCATGACACATCGAGAAGCCAGAAAATTCCAGGAGTAGTAATTTCCAAGGGAAGTCAGAAGAAAGCTCGGAAAAACCTTCCAATAGAATAGAAGTCGGTTAAAACCTTCGGAGGCAGCTAATTGCGAAGCTCCAGAGGAAGACGAAAGAAACTTCTGGTAGAAGTTTACAGTAACTACGTGAAGACATTGGAAGAAACTACATGGAGACATTATACATTGAAAGAAACTTCCTAAGGTAGTTTGGAAGGAACTTAAGGAGAAAGTCGGAAGCCAAAGGATTTACGGGACAGCCGACAGAAACTTCAAGTTGGGGAAATCTGGAAGAGATTTCTTGGGAATATCGAAAAAAAATTCAATAGCTTAAGCAGAACAAACCGATCCACATATAACTCTGTCAATAGCGGATGAATTAAAATTCTAAACAAGCCAATAGATTGGAAACTTTTTTACAACTATTGAAAATTACACAAATGTCTAACTGGCGCAATGGTGATCAAAACTATCACCGATTACCTGCAAAAAGCGCTTTCTCTAACACAGATTTCAAAATCGAATTCCATTCGGTCTCAACGAACGGTGCTTATTCAATCACCGTGTGTGGTGGTGTCCGGTTTGTCGTGATCATCAGTAGCAGCAGCAGTGCTTTTGGTTCATCCGCTCCTGGCGGTTTTCGATCAAATTCCTGGGCAGGAATTTTATACCTCGGTGGACCGGAAGAGTGCCCTGGCCGCAACGATGCCATTAGTATTCAGGACCATGTGAACTCTATCGGTGCTATTGTTTCCAATTTGGAATTCAATGACTATGCTCTGCAGCTCGGAGATTATAACCAGCCTTTGCTCCGGTGGAGTAAGTCGTACGATGGGTCTTTCCAGGTTGAGCCTCAATCGGTTCTATCGGCTGCTAGTTCAACGCTTCTCGACGGTTTCGCTTTACGCTTCGTATCGTATAGGAACGCTCGCTTTCTAGACCTTGTTCTGCCTAACGAAGCTGCAACTCTGGCATGCACCGGCTTCCGAAACAGCCATAGAACTTTTGATCTTTCTTGATGCAGACCACCCTTTAGACGTCCTGATGAACCTCCCAGCGCCAATCGTTTTTGAGGATTGTTCCGAAAATAATCGTACCCTGGATTTCCGTCGAGCCGACTAAGTTGCGATTAGTGCTGCTATTTCCGGTATCGACTGGCGACCATTAGAAATTAGCTCTAGCTGGATGTTTTGATGATGCCGTTGAATATTTCAATCAAATGATTTGGGATATCATGGCTGAATTTGTACCTATTGCCCGCCCCGCACTAAAGCCGCCGTGGTCTAACGGTCACTTGCGTCGACTGAAACGGTATCCAGCATTCTACGAGCGCTTATGGCCGCCACAATCTGGCTGAGTTTTTGGTGGGAACATATGATTTGACGTTTGGGTTGTGTCGTTTGACGTGTAAACGTTCAAATTTGATCGTTTACACGTCAAACGACACAACCTAAACTTCAAATCTTATGTTCCCTACGAAGTTCCCTACCAGAAACTCAGCCAGATTGTGCATTACGTGCATTGTACATTACGAAGCAGCAGCTCAACCGCACAAGTAACGGCTATAGGAAATACAACAGATTCCTGTATTAACGATATGTTGTTGGCGAGCCCCTCGCTGTCAGCGCACCTGATGTTACATAAACCTTGCACCACGCATACACATTAGACTGATGCAAAATTTGACTTTTTCGCTCCACAGTGCTTAAATGGTTTCAAATTGGGTCCTGATTAGCCTCCCAAAGTTACAACTCATTTGGTTGGAAACAAACTTCGCACAAGCCATCTAAAGTTTACATGTAAATTACTATGGGAAATCTCAACTTTTTGTTCATTGCCTTCTAGTCTTTTTCCATATTGA